ACTGCTGCTGCTTTATGAAGTGGCGTGTCACCTGTATTATTCTGTACATTCACACCAGCCCCGGCCTTCAGTAACACTTCAACATACTCTGTAGATCCCCACACTGCTGCTGCTTTATGAAGTGGCGTGTCACCTGTATTATTCTGTACATTCACATCAGCCCCGGCCTTCAGTAACACTTCAACATACGTTGCAGATCCCCACACTGCTGCTGCTGTATGAAGTGGCGTGTCACCTGTATTATTCTGTACATTCACATCAGCCCCGGCCTTCAGTAACACTTCAATATGCTCTGCAGATGCCCACTCTGCTGCTGCTGTATGAAGTGGCGTGTCACCTGTATTATTCTGTACATTCACATCAGCCCCAGCCTTCAGTAACACTTCAATACTCTCTGTAAATCCCCACCCTGCTGCTTTATGAAGTGGCGTGTCACCTGTCTTATTCTGTACATTCACATCAGCCCCTGCCTTCAGTAACACATCGACATACACTGTATATCCCCTCTCTGCTGCTGTATGAAGTGGCGTGTCACCTGTCTTATTCTGTACATTCACATCAGCCCCGGCCTTCAGTAACACATCGACACACACTGTATATCCCTGATATGCTGCTTTATGAAGTGGTGAGTTACCTGTATCAGATGAAAGTTGATTCACACTTGCTCCTTTCGCCAGCAGAAATGACATAACATCTGAGTGTCGTCTACATGAGCTGTGAAGAGGAGTATGTCCATTAGATGACATCATGTCAACAGTAGCACCCTTCTCAAATAACATTTTGACCATAGTCAAGTTCCCCACCTCACAAGCACTGTTTACAGCATCACCATCAACCTGTGCTCCTCTGTCTAAAAGAAAGTCTACCATTTCCTTGTTCTGGCTCATAGAAGCAAATCTAAGACCTTTCTGGTTATGCAGATCAAATCCTCTTTTCACCAGCAGTTTCACCACCCCTAAGTGACCATTTTGTATGGCAAGGTACAAAGGGTCACCATTTACACGATGCACATTGACATCCACACCCGTGTTAATTGCTTGTTCCACAGCTGATGTAAGGCCATACTTGCAAAGGTAATGGAAGACAGTCTGTCCTTTACAATCGCTTGCATTCAGGTCAGGGTCAAGGGCCAGAATCTGATCGACAAACACGCTGTCTTTGGTTTCTGCTGCTAACATGATCGGGGTTGCATACAGCCGACCATATCGAGCATCCATGTCAAGCTTCATGTGTTCACTGATGTAGGTCAATACACTACAAGCAGCATTCTTGCACACCCCAAGTAAAATGTCACGCATTTCACTTTGGCTGAATGATATGTTTTCTTTCTCCATAATAAATTTGATGAGATGATGTGACTTGTTGCTTGAGAGCAATTCACAAAATGAATGTGACTTGTCGCTTAAAACGTATTGTCTTGAAGAATTTTCAGCTAGTTTCAGAAGATCAGGAACAGACATGTGACAGTTTCTCTTCAGACAGTCCATGAGCAAGTCAATAAACTCTGAATTACAACATGCCTGGTGCGATAAGACATGCAACAAATTGCATCTCTCAATTTCAGTTGCAAATCTTCTGGCTAAATCTCGAGCAAAGGTCCATGAGATATTTGCAACAAGACCTGTCTCACTAGGAACATTTTCCCTTTGTCTTGTGGATGGTTTAAGACGAAGTCGCTGATGGATGAATGACAAACTACAATTTTCGATGACAAACTTTGATTGTTTTGTACTGAGTATTAAAGCAACACTGTCATATATAGAGGGATGGTCAAACATGTATGTGTCATCTTCCTTCTTTAGATAAGATCCAACCAAATCATCAGCAGCTGTTTTGCGTTCATATGCAAGATTTTCATCCTCCTCCAACTCCTGTCCACTAACCTTCCCATCTCTTTTAATCATAGCCATGAACAATGAACGCTTTATCTTATCCTTAAGAAATTTATCCAAAGTCTTTTTGAGGAACACAAGAGGCATTTTAAAAAAATCTAAAACAGTCTCTGCTGAAGGTTGCGTCTGATCCTTTCCATATTTCGCGACAAACATTTTACATACATGGGGAAAGCCGTGTGGACAGTCAGCCTGACATATCTGAGACACAGTTGACTCATCAAAGTCCATCTTTGTCTTTGTTTTGACATGAACATGCCAAATCTTCCTTCGTTCACAAGAGTCTCTCTGAGAAGAAACTTCCACCACATACAGGGGACTAGATATGTAATCTGCCATCTTTCCCAAGTCTGACAATGAGGATTTCAACACATAATCACGGCCTACGAGGATAATGATAGTTTGGTCTTTGTTAGGCGCCGTTCTTTTCAGCTCTGTTTGCTCATCTTTTGTTCGCTTTGAAGCATTTTCAATATTAGTGGACTTGTCTATGGAATCTTTTTCTGTATATTTATCAGGATCTTTCACATCCACAAAAGGTTGTAGACTTGGTCTCCACTTGTCCCATTCTGCTTTAACAAATTCCAGATCACCAAATATGTCATCTAACATAATGACAGGGTTTGTGCAGACCGTTATGACCTCATTGAACTCCTCCGGTGACACCACCTGATACACTTGTCTCCCCTGAGTGTGCTGATCTTTGAGAGCCATGTAGGCTATTGTAGACTTCCCCTCTCCTGATCTTCCTTTAATTGTCACCCATGTTGCTCCTCTGTCTAGCTTGTCTGTCACCTTCTGCAGGCTTTCTGTCTCCACCATGTCTTTAGTCCATAACTGTATCCTGGATTCCGTTCTTTCTGTAAAACAATTTTATAATTGACTATATTAAAAAATCTATGATAAAGATAACAATCTTATTATTATGATAATTTATTCTCAGTTAAAGGAACGTATTGTAGCCATCATCAAATGCGGTTTGACGCTGAGCATCCTTCTGTTGACATGTGACCTGTGAACACAAATTATTAAAAATATTATCCATCAAACTGAAACATGTTTTCTCACAGCATTTCTCATTTCTGTGTAAGTTATTGTTCTAAACGAGATCAGACAGTTTACGAAAGAAAGTAGATAACTCACTCCTGATCTTCTGTGCTGCAGTCAGTTGTTTCTCCTCTTCCTGGTTGGTCCGAGGTGCACCATCGTTCTGTGTTCCTCTAATGTTCTGGGTTCCGCCAATGTTCAGATTCCTGGCGCCCCTGACTGTCACATCCTCAAAATTCTGCCGTACGTAGAAATTGTTGTACTGGACAACTGAAACAGAAACTGGGACTGAAGCCCTCACAGATGTCTCTATATTTGAACCTAGCTATCTCTATAGACAACGATCATGAAGAGAGGCATACTACTTCATATTAGTCATTATATTTCCATTAAAGGTCTCATTACGTTTTCTAAAATGGCTAACCTGAAATAGAGCAGAGCTTACAACTCTCTGATCAGTCCGGGTGAGATTGTATTGAGGCTGTATACGGTTACAGACACCCTGCCCAAAAATGTAGGCATAGATGCCACAGGATATTCGCTAAAAAGCGTCATTTGTAATTATCCTGTTGTAAGTATTAGATATCTGAACCTTTAGTCATGTGTGTGTACCATGTAACAGCGCTCACCTGCAGGAGAATCCACAGGCACTGGTACCCCAGGTAGCCCTGATGACTGTATCTCTGCTACAACAGATCCTGGTATTCTGGGTAGAAGAGTGGATGTGGACGCTGGTGTCAGTGCTGCTGTTCTCGGGACTTGTACAACAGTTGTTTCGGGGACTACACAAGACGTAGTTGTTGACATCTGTGTCCGACTTGTTGTCTGATCAACATCAGCAGCTGAAGCTTGCTGGAGTTGTGTCCCCTGCTGTGGTGCCGACATTACCTCTCCCTGTGGTTGCTGACAACATCCCACAATGTGTTGTGCTAGTACCGTGGTGTCTATGATGGGAACAAACATGGCTTTTATCCATTCGGATTAGTTTCAGGAAAACCTTATGGTTACTCAGCCAATGGCCTGTTCTGACCGACATCTTTGTATCTAAGCATGTTGCAATAAAACACTGTTTTGGTTGTTTCATAATTGGCGATGATTACAGTTGGATCACAATGAAAATTTAGAGGACGGTTTTTGAAAAGAAATGTGATCAATTCATAGTTTAACTTCCGATGACATTATGGCAAGAGCGACTGGGAGTCAACTATGGATTTTGATTAAGATGATTAATTGACATGGCTATTCATATTGTGTTTCCATTATTGTGAGGCAGTATAGCCACAATACTCTGTGGCTCACCTGAATTATGACGAAATAATTTAATGCCACTTCAGCCTATTAGTGTTATATCACATGTATGAGTACATCTTCCCGAGGAAAGGGAGTTAACTGACTCTGAAGTCCAGTTTCCAACCTTTCAGTACTTGGGTACGATTACTGTGCTCAATCTTAGCGCCACCAGTGGCTAATACGAGTTATGTCCCTTCTATGACCCTCCTATTGACCAATCAGATTCTCATATCACTTGCATTTGCTTCGAACAAAATGGCTGCACCAGTTCTGATCAGTGAACAAGATATATTGAAATAAAATGGGCCTTGCCTCGCGAAGTGCATCAAATCACCAAATCAAGTGAACACCTTGATTAAAAACTTCAAAAGATTTGGAAAATATCTGTCGACGCCCAGTTGACGGTACACATCATGCACTTGTCAAAAATGTGCACGTTGAAATCAATGTTGTTTACGAACTGCATATCAATTTCGTTATGCGTATTTAATTAGACTGTGCCAGTCCAGCCAAAATATAACTCCATAATTCCAGTCTAGTTCGGCAAGGGTGGAAACTGGACTTAGCTGCGTCCCTTGCCTCGGGAAGATGATATGAGCATAAAAAAATAGCCTGAAATGCACTGCTTTCTTTTATTTTGCATTGGCTCGTTTTGTAACTTGTGTTGGCTCTTTCTGAAACAACAGGAGCCAAGTGACCGAGGAAAAACTCGAACTTGTTGCTGTCAAGAGGGCATCATTACCTAGCCTTACTTCCTGTAAGCATACATACCTTTACCTACAAGTTGGTACGACTGTTGTTGAACCGTCTGGAATTTGACCTTTGTAGCACATGCTCCAAGTTCATACATATCTTCGATTTCATCTCCCTCTTCTTCAACTGTCATGTCACCAAACAAACATTCGTCAACACTCTCTTCATCAACATCTTTATTTCCTGAATCCTCCACAGTACTTCCTGATCCGTCAGTGGTTCCAGGCGGGTTGTCCTCATCATTGCTTTTCCTCCTGCACTTTGCTGGTGTACATTCTTCACTGTCTGTGTCACTTTGACCTTTCTTCATCTCGGCCATATTCAACAACTTCAGCCACTCTAATCTCTATCTTTGAAGATTCTTCACTACTTCCTGTCTTTCATGAGGGTCTTCAATCTAAGTTGGCACCAAACTCGTCATCATCATCCTACAACAAAACCGCCTAATGTGTACAACGTCTGTCAACAGGACGGTCCTACATTTTCCGCCACAGCACTGTAGCTCACCTGGATAAGGAGTCAAGTCAATGTTACCTTTCAGTATGGTCGAAGTAAGGTCAATCAGTGTAAAAAAAGAGCACATATCTTGAACCCCACTTACGACACATTTACCAGATTTCATTACATTTTGATAATGACCATAAATAGCCTCCGTGGTGTTTAAAAGATTCCACAGAAGCAGATGGAGGCGCCATTGGACGCCATAGACACAACATATAAAAGCACACTTGAATTTCAGAAAAGCATATGAAGCAATATATTAAGGCTTACACATCGTTGTACCCCTTGTGACTGTAGGATTCAGTTTATAAACATGTCATCATTATATTTCGTGAGGTGCTGTTTCAGAAATACATTTTATGTTTACATGTCATATTAATCAAGGTGAAACAAGGTTTACTGTCAAAACAAACTCCCGGCAAAGAACAAGGGTCTACATGTCAAAACTTCACCAGTTGATTATAAAATAAGCATTAATCGTTACTTGATTTAAAGGTTCATTAATGTTATGTAAGTTCCTGTATGCAAATGTTGGAGGAGTACCGGAAACTTTGATGCAACAATGTCCTCACACTGAAACATGAAAGTTGGGCCATTCATCTGTTTCATTTTGGATGAGTCTACAGATTTAGAAAAAGATATATCATGAACTGTTCCAATTTCATTAAGAATATATCCCAAAACGTTCAATATTATTTTCATTTGCGTATTTATCCTCCATGGATGTGCTGTCATCTAAACCATATTGGTCACCTATCAGTTATCGCCACTCTTCCCTTGTTCTTTCCACTGTTTTGATTCCCGATCGTCGCGTTATAACAGAATACAAATTTCTCGTCGACCAACTGTACGAGTTATAGCCATCGTCTTAACAACACGTGTCATGTGACCACCTGCACCGCCTCAGTTATACCAAATTCTTTTTCTATTTTATCAGGCGTCACACTCAATTTTTGTAGTCAATATAAATAATAACACATGTTTTTATCAATTTATCGGGAGACCGGAAAATAGAGGAACCGCGCTCACAACAGTTTATCATAAACCATCAGCCCTACAGTCCGGCATGTAACTGATGCACCCTGACACCCTGCTGTTAACCTCCCTGTGCCGCTGCAGATGCGCAATAGATGTGCAGACATTCACAACTGGTCATTCTCGTAACCACGTGAACAATATGACATAATATCCTGGGTTAATTCCCTTAGCTGTGATTTCTCCGACTGCGACCAGAGACAATCCAATAAAAGAAAGACAGATTGCAATGATTTTTATCTGATCTCTCCTTAGTACAAGTCAGTTGACTGCTAAGTTTACAAATCAATACAAATAACTGCACAGCAATTACAATGACAGTTTGCAATAGAGTAGTAGAACAATATTCAATATCAGTATCAAATGCAAATATGATGGAGGTGATAATAATGTACACCTATCCGCAACAGTGGTCAAGCTTCCGAGATAGGCTCAGGCTGAACACAAGGGTGAAAAGTGATGTTCATATGGAAACTGGTCTTGATGTAATGTCAGATAATGTGTGATATAACTAGCTTCCAGCACATTCCACACAGTGCTTGACAAGTCCAGTGTCACTAGAACATTACATAATATTCTACATGTTTCGATAACGCTTGAAATCCATCCTATTTCGGAATTTTACAGATAATTCGAGCATCTAAATATAATAACTTCAACACCACTACTTAGAATACATAATATTACATTCCTGACAACTAAACATTGGCCAAATGCAAAGCAATGACCTTCTACTGAATCTCAACAAAAACAATGTAATACAGTTACAATCATTGTCTAACAATCGGCTACATTGCTTTATAACACTCACAGGGGTCCTTTTTGTTGTTTTGTTGTTTGAAAACGAGCAAACATAAAACGAGATGCGATCACGGGCGCGTCGGGGAGTTGGCAGTGTTGCGGTTGTAGGATGTCTATATAATTATGTAAAACAATACGTAAGGCTTGCATTGACCCGGTTGTTCTTATTTCAGAATAAGTGCGTTTGCTTTCAAACAAAAGTTTGATGATATAAGCCTACACGCGCCGGGTGATCGATGTGACCACTGGAGCAGAAACTCCTCTCGCGGAATAAGCCAAGTACACCCGAGTAAGTTCAGGGCTTATCGACTATTGTTTACAAAACAATGCTTCAGAACAGTCCAAGTACTGGACCTTTATATATATAATTTGCTGTTATTCGTCATTCTGTAATAAACAAGAATACTGAAACTAGTTTCGTTTCGTTTCGTTTTAGTTCAGTCATCTACGCCGAGTTGGAGTCTTATGTCAGAATACACACTGTCCCATTCGTTCTCAAATTCAACAAGACATTGAAGAGTGATACAATGAGGTATACAAACAAGCATAACACCGTGGACACTTACTTACTGTGTTGTATGATGGAGAAATGTGTGGACGAAACCAGAGTCAAGACCCTCTGCAAGGAAGCTGGAAAAACCCGTGCTAAATATAACTGTTTATAAGCTCCTCACAGTCGTGTAGGATAGCAGAAGCAAGCTCCACCCACAGGAGTCTGTATCTAAAAAAAGACGCCCTCATGCATATTCATGACCATCTCCACACGCGAGCTCGGGCTCGCGTGTGGAGATGGTCATGAATATGCATTAGGGCGTCTATTTTTAGATACAGACTCCTGTGCTCCACCGCAGCGCTAGCATGCCTCGCTAAGTAACACCAGCGCCACCCGACGGCAAGGCAAAAACTGGTTCTCCAGGTGATACGCGACGCAAGCTCAGGCAGATAGGCTTATACTTTTGCCAATGCAAAGTACGAGTCTTTTTCCAGTCGTGGGACGTAGCTCAGTGTTGCTTAACATGAAGCGGTGAGAAATGAATACAAATCCGTGTAACGAATAGGGGTACCAGCTCTATTAGCTTTCTATTAGCACCAGATATAAAACGGGCCTTTCCTCTCATGTAGGAAAGCGCACGTTAACTATCCAACAGTAAGTAAGTTATGCATACTTGTTTTGGTCTCATAACATGTCATAGTGTCCATTCTGTAGACACCAGAATAGTGTGTATGCACTACACCGTGTAGGTTTAGGACTGTCATTATCGTTGTACATGTATCTTCATAAATCCTTCAGTTTCAAGGGGTTTTTTCAGGCATGAGATCTTGGAAAGATATGGTGTTAACTGACCATTTCGGAAATGGGTTATGATATTTAAAAAAAAGATCCAATGACAAAAATTCGAATATTTTATAAAATATCTTAACAGTTTTTCGATTTTGTACATTTGTGCTTCGTGAAGTGGTTGTGTATTAGTCAAAGTTGGCAAGCCAGTACTCATGGTATTGAGCCTTATTCATTATCAAATAATATTTGTTTTTATATAACTGGTATGAGGCTTTTCAAAATACGTTCAGTCTGTAACATTCAAAGTTTGTTTAGATAAATTAACATATAAGAGTTTTAATAATATTTGTCTATGTACATCATGAGGGAATGTACTGTGGGTGTTTTGCTAAATATATGAATAACTGCTACGCCCGATAAAAAACATACCGACAAGAATCCGATGTTTTAACCTTTGGCATGGTCAGTTAAACCCCGAGGGAGGTGATGCAGCGATTTCAGCGTCCGTCCGTTCTCAAAGGGGACAATTTTCTCTAGGCTATTTAAATCAGAGAAATGATATTGTACAGACTTAGATTACGGGTCATGAACTCAAATGTGTTCGAGAATTGTGCCCTCCATTTTACCCTTTTTCATATTTTAGTTTATAAAATCGTGAATATGCATCTCGAACCACTTAAAGGGCGGATTATTCTACTCCTTCACTCCATCTCTGAGAAATGTGTAAAGAAGTAACAGTTAAGGCAGATTCGTGATATGTGAACAAGCAAGACACATTCGTACAAACACGCTATTTCCCTCTTAGGCCATAGGGTCGAGGTCAGATCAGTGCCTCTTACATCCTGGTTCAGGCAGATGGATTGCATTTAATCCTGTCTCTCCCATCACAGTAACCCGTACACCCGTCTCTACCATCACTGTTACCCGTACTCCCGTCTCTACAATCACTGTTACCCGTACTCCCGTCTTCACCATCACAGTAACCCGTACTCCCGTCTCTCCCATCACTGTAACCCGTACTCCCGTCTCTACCATCACTGTAACCCGTACTCCCGTCTCTCCCATCACTGTAACCCGTACTCCCGTCTCTCCCATCACTGTAACCCGTACTCCCGTCTCTACCATCACTGTAACCCGTACTCCCGTCTCTCCCATCACTGTAACCCGTACTCCCGTCTTCACCATCACTGTAACCCGTATTCCCGTCTCCACCATCACAGTAACCCGTACTCCCGTCTCTACCATCACAGTAACCCGTACTCTCGTCTCTACCATGACTGTTACCCGTACTCCCGTCTCCACCATCACTGTTACCCGTACTCCCGACTCTACCATCACTGTAACCCGTACTCCCGTCTCTACCATCACAGTAACCCGTACTCTCGTCTCTACCATCACTGTTACCCGTACTCCCGTCTCTACCATCACTGTTACCCGTACTCCCGACTCTACCATCACTGTAACCGTACTCCCGTCTCTACCATCACAGTAACCCGTACTCTCGTCTCTCCCATCACAGTAACCCGTACTCCCGTCTCTACCATCACTGTTACCCGTACTTCCCTCTCTACCATCACTGTTACCCGTACTCCCGTCTCTACCATCACTGTAGCCCTTACTCCCGTCTCTTACTGCCATACTTTTCGACCCCTGAATATCCGAGTGGAGAATACGTCTTCAGCAACCCATGCGTGTCGTAAGAGGCGACTAAGGAGATGGGAAGGTCAGACTAGCTGACATGCATGTTGACACATGTGATTCGAAGCTCATGATGTCAATCATTTGATTTTCTTGTCCAGACTCGATTAG